TTACTACTACGTTGGACTGCAGTGACAGTACAGGGGCTACTGTTTCTCATGAAAGAACAAGATCTTTCTGAAGTAGCTGTCTAATGAGAGCCTTTTTCTTCCACGGCAACAGAGTGGAAAAATCACTGAAACCCAGCTTTAAAGCTGAGAGGAGACAGCAAGCAGTGTGTTTTTAGAACAGGCACTGCCTTTATATCCCCACCATTAAAATAAATAACAGAGCCAGACCAAGGTTCTGAGAAGAATCACTGCACCTCCTAGTGGTGAGAGCTGAAGACTGATTTCTTACCCAGTCTTACAGACTGGGGCTCAGACCAGCTAAGCCAGGAACTTGTCCCTTTTTAATAAGCCTTTTATTTCTGTTAAGCACCAGCTCTTAGACGAAAATTGCAGATTGGTTTTCATGCCAATGAAAATCAGTCAGCAGGGACCAGCAGAAGAGAGTTCAATTATATTTCTTTGAACTCCACTTTCCTCTACCCCAGGGTAGCTGAAGAGAAAAATCTTACAACTCCACGACACATTGGATTTTTACATATTCTTGTGCAGTACAGATTTCATCTTACTTTTTAGGATGTAGGAAACAAATAATTCTGACACATACATTCATCAGTTCAATCATAAAACAATTTTCTAAATCAGGGAAGCATATCTGAACCTAGTCATGAAATTTATGGCACAGATGTTGATGTGCTCTGACCATGTGGCAATTAAAAAGGTTTACTCAAGAAACAGCACTTCGGAACAGAGGATATCAGTGTGTGTCGCCCTGATACCCCTCCCTCATGTCGAATTACAGTATATTGTATTGGCCGTGTGCCAAGAGATAGAGCTGTGGAGCTGTGATGCCCTGGAGCTCCACAGCATGTTTGCATAAGGGCCTGCCAGGAACTGTGGCAAACACTTCAAGTTATTGATCTGTTAGCACTGTGGTGCTTGTCCTGTGTGTATGGGTTCTTCTTAAATATGCATGTGTACCAGCATGCAAAGCAGCTAAGGGCAGTGTGTGTGGGAGGTGGCTCCTCACAGGGGTCATCGGTATTTGGGGGAGGGGGGGTGGTGGTCTCGGCACCCTAGGAGGGTGTGGTGAGAACTGCAACAAGGCAGAGCTGCAGAGTGAGCATCAAGCCTTTGCAAACAGCAGGGAGGAGTACTACATCGGCACCAGAGAAGTGGGAGGAATGATGCGGTTTTTTCTCCTGTCTGGCATAGAGGAGTGCCGGGGCTCTGTGGACGACAGCCTCCAGTGCCCAGGAAGATAGAGGAGGAGGCAGCAAGGGACCCCAGCCCGCCAATGATCCTCGAGCCGAGGCACTGTCAGCATGTCACTAAGCGGTCTAGAGAGTGTAGCCTTCAGAGAAACCCAACCTGTGGGTGGCATGACAGGGCCGGGCACAGCACATCCTTGTGGATCTAGACAGAGAACAGGCCTTCTGTTATCAGCTTCTACTCGCCACACTTGAGCACCTCTTGAGAAAATATTGCCAGAGGCCGGCCGGGTGGAGGAGGCTGGAGGTGTGGAGCCTGAGATCCCTTGTAGCAAACCTGCAGCACTTGTTGAAGCAGAGTGATCCCGGAACGGAGGCAGAAACGAGGTGCCGGTGTTTGGCGCATTCCCCGGGGGACTGTGACTGGTTGGACTTTGTCAGCAAGTCGCCCTTTCTGAGATCACCAGTCTGGGTGAAGCGTATGCTGTTCAAGTCTGGGTCATCGTTCCAGAACAGGCCGAACAAAGCACTCCCCCCGAGTTCTGGTCAGCTGAGACACAGGAAGCAGCAGACAGCAAGGCCATGCCATGAGGCAATCACAAGACACTCTGGGGAACAGATGCTGGAGGAGTGGACAGAATGGCCGTCTCCAGTGGCAGTTTTGCCACCCTGCCTAGTAGACGCAGGAGAGCGCGAACAGGGCACCTGAGGCGAGGGCTGGTTGGCTTAACATCCCAGCCAATCCCACAGCTGAAAGACTGTAGAAATATTATAGGTGGCGTAAGGCAGTGAGGAAAATAGCCTGCACTGTCTAGATTTACACTGTACAAATTTCCAGTGCATCTTTGGGGGCCTGCAATGCAAGACACTCATTTATGTTGTTTCTGCCTTGTCAATGATAAATCCACGGACTCTGCCTATAGGAGAGAGAGGAGAATGCAGATGCTGGGCAGACATTGGACTGAGGTGAAGGACAACTGCCATTCATGATGGGCTCAGGAACAACCGGAGGTTCAGCTGCCAGCCCTCCCAGAAGCAGATGACCACCAATTTCACACACTGGTAGTGCAGACCAGCAGTTCCCAGAACTGATCCTGGGAGGTCTACACACCTGGATTTTGTTTCTGCCAAGTCCTCAGTTACATAGTTGAACCCTTTATTGATTTAATAATATGATTCACTCAAACTGTTTTGCTTTAACTTCTGCATTTCACAAGCCACTCAAACGTTTGCAAACGTTCCAAACAAGCACATCAATAGATCAACTAAGGCTTGAATAAAGTAAAGAGATTGAATAGAATGAAAACATGTAGGTGTGTTGGCCTCCAAGATCAGGAATGGGTACCCCTGGAGCAGACAGACAGGGGAGCACACTAACTCTATAGCTTGAACATGGCCCCAGCAGCACCTCAGGAGCCTCGCAGAAGAGGAAGGCTGAGGAGGTCTCCTCAGCACAAGCTGGGAAGTCGAGTCTGATGTGAGAAGACCACTCTATGCCCTCATCCAGGGCTTCAGCTGGACTTGCCTCCCCAGGGACCAGAGCATCTGCCAAACCAGATGAGGCTTCAGCTTCCAGAAGCCTGAAGGACAGGTGGTCCAGTCTTGACTTCATGACTTTGAAGCGGAGCATCGCTCTGGAGTTCAGCACCTGAACTTGGAAGGTCCTGCACATGGGTCCTGAGAGCAGGCAGAAGCCCAGAAGGAGTTGTTGGGGCCAGCCGCCACTGTCAGCACCCCTGTCCTGGGCTTAGCGTTGAACACAGAGGGGCTGTGACGCGAGCTGGGCTCTCTCAAGTAGAGAGACTCGTCGCACCCTGTGACACATCGTCATCACTACCTGCAGACGCAAGGAGAGGCACTGCCCACTGGCCATCCTGAGAGTGCTGAGGAAATGCTGTTGCCGGTAGTCCATGAAACTGAACCCGAGGCACTTTGGGTTGGCTAAAGTCGGCATCACACTACACGACTTTTACTAGGATTTTCAGTCGTAGCCTTCATTTACATGATCGTAAGAAAATCACAGCGAGTTGGAGAGAGTCGCAGTGCATGCCCGTTTCCGTCAGGTATATAGTGTGACACCCCAAGCGACTCAGTTATAGCCCCTACGACACTCCGCGACTCCTACGATATCAAACAGGTTTCATTTTCTCGTAGCCAGTTGCAAGTCACAAGTAGGGACGGGCTCTTGTGTCTGTGACAGTCACAGCCAATGAGTGCTCAACCAGAAGTACAATGCAGACAACGCCCACAAACAGTGAAGAATTATGCAGCTGCAAGGAAAGAAGGAAAGCGAGTGTTTTGGACTGTGCAAATGGAGGAGAGGCTCGTCGAACTCTGGAGCCAGCACAGATGTCTGTTCGATATTTCGTGTTTGTTCTTAGCTTTCGTGCGGTGCTCCTCCTCTTATTCCGGTGTGCTCCACGTTGATTGGCTACCAAAACGAGGCAGCCCCGTGGTACTTTCACAGCGCAGTGCGAGATTTGGAACCGCGACGAAAAGTCATGAGGGAATCGTGTAATTAGTCACACCCTGCGATTCCTAGTCGTATAGTTTGACACCCTCTAGGACAGCAAAGGCAGTGAGATTCAGCAACTGCAGTCGTTAAATTTGACATGCTCTCCGACTAGAAGTCGTTTCGAGTTCTGTTGTGTGACATGCACTTAGCTGCTGCCATGGGGACACTGGACATTTCTGCAAGAGCAGGAGGCTCTTCCTGGCCACTGTCATGCTCCCCTGTAACATTATCAGGAGGGGGCACTGAGGAGCACCTCTCATGTTTTGCTGGGGAGTGTAGGAATGCCTTGAGATTGAATGACATCCAGCCTAGAGTTTGTTCTGCTTTAAACCCCGTGTTTCTGGGTTAGACTTAAAACCACAGGAACCCATACCGTTAATTGAAGACTTAATAAGAAAGGTACTTTTGCTCATGCCATGAGCACTGATCCTCCTGATGCTCCGTGTTGGAAGTCACTGTGGGATACTGAAAGAACTATGACTCAAAGTACCACAATGCACTGCTGTTCAGGTACAGTAAATAGTCTTTGCCGATTCTGAATTGACACTCAGTCATTGCTGGATGTTCTAACAGGCAAATGTTACACCACAAAATTCAACATTGTTACTGACCTTTTCAACCAAACGCGGTTAACATCTTAAAAAAATAATATACTTAAGTTTGAAAAGTAGGTAGAAGACACTTAAGAAAATCACCCTGAAAAGCTGTAACATTTTAAACTGGGGAATAAGTTGTTTTGATTAATTACCGTTTGATTATGTTTTTTACATCAAAAGCAAACTCTTATACACAAACACAACTATCGGTGAGAAGAACGGAATCATCCAAAGAAAACACATTTTAAAATAAAAACATCTAATCTAGTCTCAGTTGAAAACTTTAAATGAATAAGGTAGTTTGCTTTTTTTCAGGGCTTCTTTTACTTTCTCAATAATGTTAAGTAGACAGCAGTCAAAAAAAAAAAGCACAGGTTCCTAAAAGCCTAAAAGCATTAATTGGAAGATTAGTCATAGCTCTGTTAAAATGAAAGCACTGGTACAATCAAGCTCTTCTGCAATCACTAAAATAACCATATAAGTAGTGGCCTTTTCTGTTTTGGAATAACCTTTCAAACGCATAACGCCCAAAAGAGTTTTAAAGAAACGAAAAGCGTGCCTACAACCTGTGCAAGATCCAGATGTCTACGCACCCTTGGTGCAAAACGAAGCTTGTAGTACTTTCCAGAGCACGTGTTGGCGTTTTGAATGAACGTGAACATGTGTCATGACGTCACTGACCACCTCCTCCTCCAGCGTCCCTGTTTCAACCTCCTGTGGATCTACTGCACTCTCTGTTATGTGTGTGTGTGTGAATAGCAGAGACAGACGCAGGGGGGGGAAAAAAAACAGACATTTCTCGCAAAGATGGCTGCCGCTTCCACCGATAGCGCCGAGCAAGATTCCCCATCACCTAGCAACGAGAACGGGGCGCCGCCGACAGGAGAGACCGAGGACCAGATGCGAGGCCTGCCGCTGCCGGGACAAGAGCCGGGTGACGGGCAGGCGGTGAAAATGGAAGAAACGAACGGCAACCGGGACAGGGAAGACGACGACGACGACGACGAAGAAGAAGAAGGAGAAGGAGGAGGTGTGGACGTGAAACCCTCGTCTGCAGCCAGGGCAGCCGAAGCATCAGGGGCGCCCGGGGACGAGGAGGAAGACGAGGAGGAGGATGAGGAGATGAGCTGCGAGAGCGCCGCGGGCGAGGAGAGCTCGGAGCAGCGGAGCCCGGCGAGCAGCAGCGACCCCGGGGACGGCGCGGAGAAGGAGCTGAAGCCCGGACAAAGGGAGGAGAGCGAGTCCGGCTCCAGCGACTGCAACAAGAGCAAAGGCGAGGATGCCCCGGAGAAAAACGGCAGCGGGGAGAGCGAACACGGGGCCGCCAAGAAGCGGAGGGCCAGCGTGGAGATGTCATCGTCGGACGGGGAGCCGCTGAGCCGCATGGACTCGGAAGACAGGTCGGTGAAACTTCACGGGGGAGGGGAACACACCCCACAAATTCAACAGGAAAGGCGAGCCCGCTACAGTTAGGTGATCTGCCCTCCCTTCGCCGGCTCGATGGCATCGGCGGGGGCATGAAGTCTCTCCAACTTGTGGAAATTGAGTTAAAACACAAAATCACAGGTCCTGCCCCCGACCGGCGCTTTAGTTTTGCGCATAAGAGCCCTTTTTTTTTTAGTTGCTGATTTATAAGCAGGAGGGTGCACGGTACCATCGCCCTCTGATGGGCTTTTTGGCTCGTTCTCGTGTGCGTGTTTTGTACCCGTAATGACGCCACCCGTGGGTCGCTTTTCGCCCGTTTTCTGTGCGAGTTTGTCCAGTTCAATTTTTTTTTTCTCTCCTCCTCCTGCGGATTGAGCGTCGCGCTCGGTTTCGGATGGGGGGGGGCATGACGTCTTAAAACAACGGGGGGGACGTTTTAAACCCTCGCACAACCTCCCTGCGTGCGAAAGGGGATTTAAAATTAAAATCTGTTCTGTATGTCTTTCTGGAGGGGGTCAGTTTGCCCCCACAGTGAAAGCACACGTGTAGCTGACGTGAATGTGAATGGGGTCGGGTGCAATATGGACGGACGGTGGTCACTGGGGCTGATGACGATGCGAGAGGCTTACAATTGAAGGAGGAAAAAAAAAACTGAACCCCCACCCCCCCCAGAACCGAGTTATCAATGATCCAGTTGATCGGCACCCGTGGGTAAGGATGGTGAAAGACGCAGCCAGCTCGCCATCCGAGTTTCTGCCCCGTTTCAGTGGCCGCATGCTTGCCGTGTCGGGGGGTATGGGTGCCATCTCAAGTTTGCAAACGATCACCGCGCCTCGCTTGCCGTGGTCGTGATCTCGACAGATAGCCGCCGTGGTTTGTTGTTGTCGGTACCATCGGGAGCCTTGGTCGTTAACGTGGCCCGGGAAAAGGTGAACAAGGGCCGTGGAGGATGAGCGAAGGTGCTTAGACGACCTTGGCCTCCGGATTCGGTTCGGGAAAAAAAACCCGAACAGGTGGTGGTCTGGGGTGGAAAAAAAGCACAGTATTGGGGGAAAAACTCGGACCAGGTTAGGCTATTTAGAAAAAAAAAAAGGCGAACGACACGTTTTGATTTAAAGCATCGTGGACAAAATAAAAATAAAAATGAAACGCAGTGTGATAGGACCTGAAGTCCGAATTTAGGCTTCCCTTTCCCGCGGAGCAAATGTAACTTTATCCAGTAAAATGCACAAGATATTTCAGGACCAAGATTATCTCGCACCGAGTTGAGGTCGTGTGGAGTTCAAAAAGCTTTAAACCCGTACGCCCCGCGTAAGATTAGCAACGTGAATCGTTCACATTTAAAGAATATTTTGGTAGCGTTTTAATATTGTTGTACACGTTTTTTTTAAAAACGTACACGCGTCGTTTCTAGTCTTTATGGGCGCTTACGTACACCAAGAAAGTCGCTAAATATCTAAGTATAGAGAAGGTTCGGTTGGAGTTTTTTTTTAAATTATAATAAAAAGCTTAAAAAAATCGCTGAGCTTTCGTTGTCTGTTGGCACATACGTTCTTGCTCAGGAAAGAGAGAGGGGAGATGGGGTTTCAGTCCAGAAAAGAGATTTTTTCCCCCAAATGTTGCCCATTTATTTAGTTGTAACTTGCTCTCCCTAACACCATAGTTTGTATAGTAATTCTCCATTTTATGACTAGCCAAACAAATGTAATTGCTGGAACGTAGTGTGTCGCCAAAGTGGTGTAAAATACTTTATTTTACGTGGTTTAACGTCGTACTTCACTGAAATAGCACAGTCTTCGCAATTCAGACTAGTGTAATACAGCGGACTCGGCCCATTTGCTTAGCCCTCTCTGTGGTGTCCGTTCTTGAGGAAATTTCATCCATGAGTTACGGTCATAGCAGGAATATGAACGCATATCCCTTCTTTCCACTTCTCATTTTCCAGATGTCAAAAACTTCAATTCCCCCCCTTGCAAGTAGTTTTTTTTTTCCCGCTGTCATTATCATAAACAAAAAAACAACAACAACGAAATGAAGACAGTGTGAGCACGTCGTGTAAAAAGGATAAGCATTGGTCTGTCTTCATTATGCGATTGGGATCATTAAAGGATTTGCATTTAAGAGCTCCTCCAAATGTCGTAAGAAATGAAACATTAAAAGGCGGATTAAAAACGCATTGCAACTGTTGTTGCTCTCCTGTTGACATTGTTACAACTTTGGTCGATTTAAGAACCTGTTTTGTGTTTTGCTTAATGAGAACGTCAATTCCATTACAATTTTATTCCTTAACACCTGTTCCTTTTTCCTAGCTATTTGTATGCACATTTATTTTTTTAAGTGTTTTTAACCCATTAGCTAATTAGGTTACAAAATAACCAATTTGACTCATTACTTCCCCTTTTTGGTTTCCACAGTGCTTAAAAGCTCCGCAGTGTCCTTAGTCAAGTCAGTAGGCAGTAAAAAAAAGTCCCCTCGTTTTTGCTTATCGATAGCGACTTAACCTACAGGTCTGGGTTGCGGTTGAAAACAGTACTTTATAGAAAACACAGAAAAGACATGCTGTGCAGTTATTAGGGGAGTGATTTGATTAAATTTTACTGGGCAAAAGGGGGAGAAAAATATGTTTTAGCGGTCCAATCGCATTCTTTCCAGTTTCCAAATCACAGCTGTTTACGAAGTGATATCTCTGAAGGAATTGCTTGCTGCCAAGAGTAAAAAAAAAAATGAAATCGGAAAGGAGAAAATGCTGTTGGAAGACTTTGTGTTATAGGTGTGACTGGAAGCCTTCTGCCTGTGTTATCTTCATCAATCATTTCTAGGTCGGTTGTGAAATGCTAAGGCCAAAATTTTGCCAACTCTCTTTGAAGTGAACATTCCTTTAAACGCTTTCCTGCAGTCATATAACAAGTGGGATAGGTGGTAGTTTAGTCAATCGAAATCTCACAGACCAGTCTCATGCTTAGATTGTTTTAGAAGTGTTTTCTGACCGTGTGTCCTCAAGGATGTGTATTTTAAAGAATGTTTTCACTTGCAATTGACGGCTGTTTCAACTCACAGATATATTTGAACTTGTTTGCCTACCCCCTTGAAGCAAAATAAGTGATACACACATACATGACTCCCTGGGATGATCTTAGATTCTAAGGTCTAATTTTAGAAAAGTTTGGTAATTGTTTTTACACCTTTTAAAATACTTATTGAAAGATAACTAAATCAAACTCATCTTTGCATATATTTAGATTGTAAGATTCTTAGTTAACTCTGTTGCCGTTCCTGAATAACACTGAAAGGCAGAAAGAGACAAAATTATACATGGAAACATGTGTTCTAACCTAAGCATCTCATGCTTTATTTCTCCTTCTCTATGTACTTTGTTCCAAGTTCTTACAGTGTAGCAAAGTGCAAAAATGCACAAATTAAGCAGGTTAAACTTATGAGAAATTCTCAGGTTAAATTCAGTGAAATTCTCTTCACTATTTAAATCATTTGTTTTTATAGGGAAGTACATTTAAAACTGACACCAGGAAGCACTTCTGTGCTCAAAAGGTTGGGTGTGTAAAATAAGCTACCCAGCCGCATGTTTGAAGATGGTGTCCCAGTTTCTTTCAAGAAATGGCTGGATGAGATCCTTTGCTGCCAACATAGAAAAAATGGGGTGAATATCTTCCTCTAATTTGTAACCTCTCTTGTGTTCTAAAATAAAATAAGAAATGACATTATGGAAAACTACATAGTGAAAGATGTCAAAAACAATAAAAGTAAGATCACGAGCATTTCTTGTTATTATATCTGTCTTTGTTTGAAAATGACAATTAATTGGGAAGTATATTTTTTTGTTGCTGAATAAGATGAGGATATTTGCCAAAGTGGCTTGAAAAGCCGAATGTACATCATCTATAGTCTATATAAATGGAATTGAGTGGCTCATAAAGGAAACTCCCCAAAGCATGATTTTCCTGTTAGCCGCTAGCCCATGTGGAAATCATTTTTCTGATAATTACTCAACATCACAGAAGATCTTAACAAAGCTCTTGGTACCAGCTCAGGAGTCTTGGTAATTCATGATCTCATATGTAGCATATAAAGTGGCAGTTGATGTAGGTTCTTTCTTGTAGCTTTAAATCTGTTAAAGGGTGAAAGTGTTTTTAATGTTATGAAACCTGTGGAATTTTAAAGGGTTGCATGGGAGGTTAAATGGAGTACACGGCACAGTGCAAGGCGGCTTTTTAAATGATTTGCAGAGACTTCCTGTGCATTCGCACACATCCCACATACCCCAGATACTCAGAATGCAACATCTTTCATTGCATTTCATTCCAGCTGTTGTTGAAGGCTCATAGCCAGTGACAAGTTGTGCTGGGTTTGACTCTCCTTATACTGTGTGGTAGGATTTTCTTCTTCTTAGATGAGCCACGTGGACTCAGTCCTAGAGATCCCTAATCGAGTTAAACTTATAAGTCGCCTTGGATCACCTGCTTTTCACTTGTCAGTAATTGATCACATCAGCAATAAATTTGTCCTATGAAGCAAAGCCTGGTCTTTCGGGGACCAAGGGATTGTGGTCCTTGTTCCAGATGATCTTTAAATTATTTTAACAAGCAAAAAGCCTGTTTAAGTGATCACAGTAAGATTGTTCTGAATCCTTAGAGAGTGATGATTGATAGGTTCAACTCCTACAGAATTGGTGCTCTCCAGGACCAGAGTTAAAGACTTCAGCTCTAGTTTAATATAAGACTTAGTTTTTATAATACCCATCAAAGTATTAACACTGTTCACTAGACACTTGAACTGGTACATACATAAAAAAAGCTGGACAGGACCAGCTGTACATGTAGCTTGTACACTGGCTTTCATGTGTTTCCCAGTAGCAAATTGAAGGTACATGAACCAACTATTGGATGAGAGCAGAATGAACAGATTGGAAAATTGCAAATGTAACATTGGTCAATTAAGGGGGCAAAAACTGAGCCAGGAA